TGTGTGTGTGTGTGTGTGTGTGTGTGTGTGTGTGTGTGTGTGTGTGTAGAGGGAAGAGAGGAGAAGGAAGGAGTAAGGATGGAAAAACAAATGGGGGTAAATAAAAACAATGGGTGAATCTGGGTAAAGGAATAGTGGGTGTCCCTTGTACTATTCTTGCAACTTTTCTGTAAGTTTGAAATTATATCTAAATAAAAAGTTACAAAAAGAAAAATCCACAAACATACAGAGATACACACAAAACTCTGTCACCTTCAAGTATATATACTTTCAAAATTCTAAATTTTTTAAAGGCATTTTTTAAGTTTTGACGTACTTCTCCAACAAAAATTTCAAAACTCCCTGATAACAAAACTGCATTGCTCAAGACTAACCCTCTGGGTCCCAGGCCATCCATCTGTTTATATCTCTGAGCTAATTAAGCCTGAAGACAAGTGTTTGAGTTGAGATACAACTGTGGGATCAGTGATCCTGGACTCTGAAGGCTTTGCCAGACATGTGGGGAATAAAGAAGCAGTAAGGGGCAAAACTGAGTTCCTCAGATACGTGGCTCATTCCCTCATCATTAATTAATTATCAAACCTGCCAACCTGCTCAACAGACGCTCCAGTGAAGAGTGCAGGAAAACAGTGTCACGCAATGAAGCAAGTTCTCTTCAACAGATGTTTTTTCTTCCTCACACATCTGCTTTGAACTTCAAAAAAATCTTGAAGTCCAGAGCAAGGTCTGGGATATTCTAAATTGCCTAACAGAGCAAAGGCATTCAAGTCTTACTGAATTTCCTTAAAGTACTGACAAAGTAATTGTATTTAAATACAAAGTTAAGGCATTTCTAAAATTGTGACTTCTCCTTATTCCCCAAATGTTAAGGTGGCTCATGAACTAGCCATGGAAAGAAAAATATATGGAAATATAGTTGATCTAATTATAAAGGTAAAGGATAAAAACATTACACTTTATTTTTAAAGATACAATTGTGCTTATTTTAAATGCATTATTCTCTCTAAAAATGTAGCCTGCTTTAAGGAAATGTAATATATAAAAAAATTCAGAATTATGAAACAGGATAAATTGGGTACAGTGACTGACTTCATTAAACAATAGTTTTGTATTGAAGGATTTACAGTGAAGTTTCTAGACATAGTTTAGGAGTTCTTAAAGAAAGTAACTGTCTAGAAATTCAAACTTCATTTATTCTTTTCACAAACATTTATTACCAAAAAATGTATTTTTGCAATGTGCATTGTACTGACACACTATTTTTAATGCCTACAATTCAAATATGGATGTATGATTTACTAGTTCAGGCTAACTTGAGAAATCAACAGTAATCGTTTACAATTTAAATTATAGAATGCTTTTGAAAAGAAATCCTGTTTACTTAAGTGTATGTCTTAAGTTAATTTAACAAAATATTTCTTGATCAAGGGCTTTAGGGAAGCAGGAGAGAGAGGAAATAACAATGAGAATCCATCATATGCCAGGCACTGTCTCTTGTAATAGAACACACTAAGGCTTGGATGGGGAACCTGAGGCTAAGAGCAGGTACGTAACATGGCTTAGGTCATTTTAGTAAGTGCACAAACTACAATTCAAACAGGACTTTGGATTCCAAAACCTGGTGACCTTCCATTGTTCTACTGCTTTGAAATTTACACAGTTTAAAAGATTTATAATTAGTGTTATATATTGCAAGGATTAAATTCATTAAAAATACCAAAGGACCAACAAAACATCAAACACAACTCTTAGGTATCTCTTAAAAAAAGCTTTTATTTTTATTTTTTAGAATATATTTTAATTTTAATTTTTATTTAAATTTTAGTTAACATACAGTGCAATATTGGTTTCTGGAGTAGAATTCAGTGATTCATTATTTACAAACAACACCCAGTGCTCATCACAAGTGCCCTCTTTAATACCCATCACCCATGTAACCCACCCCCACCCACATCCCTCCATCAACCCTCAGTTTGTTCTTAAAAACAGTTTGTTCTCTATTGTTAAGAGTCTCCTATGGTTAGTTCCCCTTTCTCCTATTTTCCCCCCTTCTCATATGTTCATCTGTTTTGTTTCTTAAATTCCACATATGAGTGGAATCATATGGTATTTGTCTTTCTTTCTCTGAATGACTTATTTCACTTGGCATAATATGCTCTAGTTCCATCCACATCATTGCAAATGGCAAGATTTCATTCTTTTTGATGGCTGAGTAATATTCCACTGTGTATATTTACCACCTCTTCTTTATCCATTCATCAGTCGATGGACATTTGGGCTCTCTCCATAGTTTGGCTATTGTTGATAATGCTGCTAGAAACACTGGGGTGCGTGTACCCCTTCAAATCTGTATTTTTGTATCCTTTGGGTAAATACCCAGTAGTGCAATTGATGGGTAGTAGGGTAGCTCTATTTTTAACTTTTTGAGGAACCTCCATGCTGTTCTCCAGAGTGGCTGCACCAGCTTGTATTCCCACCAACAGTGCAGGAGGGTTCCCCTTTCTCTGCATTCTTGCTAACATTTGTTTCTGTGTTGTTAATTTTTGCCATTCTGACAGGTGTGAGGAGGTATCTTATTGTGGTTTTGATTTGTATTTCCCTGAAGATGAGTGATATTGAGTATCTTTTCATGTCTGTTAGCCAACTGGATGTCTTCTTGGGAAAAGTGTCTATTCATGTCTTCTGCCCATTTACTAACTGGGTTATTTGTTCTTTGGGTGTTGAGACTGGTAAGTTCTTTATAGATTTTGGATATTAACTCTTAAAACTGTAACAAAACCCAGAGGCTACAAAAGACAAGATCAATACATTTGACTACATTAAAAATGTTTATGATATTGGGACGCCTGGGTGGCTCAGTCGTTAAGCGTCTGCCTTCGGCTCAGGTCATGATCCCAGGGTCTTGGGATGGAGTCCCACATCGGGCTCCCTGCTCCGCGGGAAGCCTGCTTCTCCCTCTCCCACTCCCCCTGCTTGTGTTCCCTCTCTTGCTGTGTCTCTCTCTGTCAAATAAATAAAATCTTTAAAAAAAAAAAAGCTAAAAATGTTTATATTTCCTTTTGCCATATGGGGGAAAAAGGTCAAGAGATAAATGACACACTAAGGAAAATATCTGCAATTTGTAGCACAGAAAAAGGGCTAATTTTCTTCATATAAAGATTTGTCACAAATCAATGAGAAAAAAATAAAGGAATATAATTGGCTCTAAAACATGAAAAGATTTTCTACATTTCTCATACTAAAAGAAATGCAAGTTAAAACCACAAAATACCATTATTCAACTATCAGGTTATCAGATATCAAAAGTTTGAAACAACATTATGTTAGCTGGGGTGGAGAAAAAAGCACTCTCACTTACTAATTATGGAGACATGGTCATTTGAAAATATATCCTTGCAATTTGTGGTAGTTATGCTCTATAAGGTTGCCATGAACACTGA